GGCATGTGACAGGTGCTTTGTGGGTGTGGGTCAACTTGAACGTACTTGGCAAAGTTGACCCTGTTGCGAGGTTGACTTCAGTGAAGTTACCAGCAGCTCTGGAGGGACTGGAAACCACTTTGCTGCATTAAACAGCCCTGCCTAATTCAGTCTACAGTGTTAGGATATAATTTAAAACTTTGAAACCAAAGAAGCAAAATCATCCCTTTTGGTTCTATTTCTTGTGCAGATCTCCAATACTGGATTTGGACATCTGAAACAGCTAAAAATTCACTTCTCTTTCCAAATAAATTAATGCTGCTGTTTTGGTGTTATTTACACTTTTTCTTTTGTCTATAGACATTTCCTTTTATTTCTATGATGTAATTGCGAGAATTTTTTTTTATTTGAAGTTGTATGTGCTGGTCTAACTCATGTATCTTAATCCACTAAAATCCTTTATTTTTTTTATACAAAAGAAGTTGCAAAGATGTATGTATTAGGACTGTCTACTTCATCAGTTTTCTACCTCTTCAAACGTAATAAGAAATGACTTGAAGTATTCTACTCAGTCTCAGCAGTCATTATCAAGGGAAAAGCTCACAGCCCGCAGTGTGAACACAGTGCATGCCAACTCCACAGCCCAAAGGGAGAGGTGATCCAGCAATGATTAAGACTGTTTCCTTGATTAATATGGAAAAAAAAATACGCTCAGTGACAACTACTTTATTTTCAAATTCCAGAGTGGGCATCCCACCAAGGTGAACAAATCTTTTTTTTTTTTTTTTTTTTTTTTTTTTTTTTTTTTTGGTCTATCATATCATTATTAAAAAGCAGTCTCTGAAAGTATGAGGAGTTCAAAATCTGCTACTGACACTGTATCTTGGTGTTCATGGTGATGTGATAAAACATAAGTAACTAAAGGGAAAAATTAAAAAAAAAAAGTGTTTGTGCTATTTTTTTGAGGCACTGTTCTTGTAATGCCTTGGTGACGTCTCCAGAAGGAAGGGCGCTGTTTGCTCTCCTCTGTGTTTAGGAAGCATGCCTTTAAAACAGTTTAGGTGCTAAGTAGGCAAAGACAGGAGAATGAAGACTGTTGCCATGTCGATTTTGCAGAGGCAAGTTGGAGGAAAGAAGTAGAAAGGGTAAGTGAAGCACAAAAGGGGCTGAGGTGTAACAGGTTGCCTCAACTGGAGGGGTTTGCCGTTTCTCACAATGGAACGCAGTCATCCCAAGCCAAGACATAAGCCTGTGGTAGAGGTGGGCTCCCAACACCATCTCCAGCTCTTATTCCCCAAACCATCTCTTTTTTTTTTTTTTTACCATCTCTTTTTTTTTTTTTTTTCTTTCTATATGAAGATCTGAAGATCAATGTGGTTTAAAAGGTAAAAAATCAGTAATATTTGAAAAAACATGTCCTAGTTAAGCTAGTCTTACTAGTGCATAGTTATTTTAATTTCATTGTAAGAAAACAAGAGAACTTCTCTGACTCATAAATAGGCTACTGTCTCACCAGCTGTATTCATATTTTTATCCGCTTTACCAGAGAGAATTTTTGTTTGGCCTTAACTTTTTCACTATTTCCCTTCAGAATATTAAGTTTCACTAATGCCAATTCAAACCAACATCCTTCAGCAAGTAAACAAGCAAGGAGCAAATTAACGGGAGAAATAATTTTCTGCTGATACAATTTGATGTAGATTTTGAAAGTAAATCCTCTAAGTAAGAGGGGAAATGTATAGAGAGTACTACCTCAGTCATCCTGAAGTCTGTTCTGCCTCTTAGGATAACAGGGAACAGTTTACCTGCGTTGATGAAATCTTGTCTTATCCCATAAAAAAAAACATTGCCATAAAGAAAGCAGCAAATTGTAATTTAAGAGTAGAAAGACATAGAAAACATAAGTCTGTAGAGAAAAGAAGGTAAAACCATACAAGATTATTTATTATGGTTTAAATAACGCTACTCTCATAAGGTTCACTTTACTTTCACGTTGGATAATTTTAAAGGGATCAGTGTGGGAATAAGTTGTGATATGAGCAGGGAAGTTAATTTTTGTGGTCCTTAAGAAAGGCTTATAACAAGTGGTTCTTTCCAAAATGTTCTGAGCCGAAGAGTATGTGCCCTCACAGCATGCTTTTTTTAAATTATTCTAATCAGAAAATATAAACCAGATATCAACCAGATATCTAATATCTGTATTTATAGTCATTCCCATTTCATGTTGCAACACAGTTTTGAAAATATTGATCATAAGAGGAGAATACTACGGTGCTTCCTGAGACTTAACATGAGCTTTTAAGGTCTTGTAGCAGAAGCATGCAAATACTTTAGGGGAGACTCCACCACCACAAAAAAAAAAAAAAAAAAAAAAAAAAGTAAAAGATCAGAGTTCATTTCACAAGTATATACATTAAAAAAGGGGAACAGAAAAACTCCACAAACCTAAAACGCCCTTTCTAAATTATATTTATTTTTCTTTGACGTTGGAAATGTATCATTTTAAGTGCTTATGTGTTTCCAATCGTCATACCACCTGAGCAGTGTGTGATTTTTAGTGTATTTGTGCTTACGACTGCCAGTCAGAATAAGAAGTACAGATTCATCTCTTTCCAGATGGCAAACAAGGAAACGAGACATTTGTTTGAAAGAAAAATCTGTGGTAAAGCAAGAATCTGAACCTGGGTCTCATGCAAAGCAGCCCAGCATCCTAACTGGGGACATTACTGTGCTCAAAATAAGAAGTTTGAGCTTTAGGAATTCTCTGAGATAATTTTTTTTTTTTTTTTTTGGGGGGTCTTGTAACAGTCTGTTTTGTTCTGCAGCTGCTTTTTTAACTTTACAACTTACTAACATCAATTGACTGTCAAATAAGTACCACTGTGAACTCATGAATAAACATAGTTATCATTTACATATTAACAGAGGGCCTTTAGCTGAAAAGAATCCATTTGTGATACGGCAGTATCTTAATTATTTACTGTGTTATATTGTAATTAATTGTATTTTACTCTCTCAAAACTCTATAGTATGTATATCTTACGGGGTTTGGAACCAATGCACTAATATTAAAGCGGTAATCAACGCTGCTTCTAAATATTCATGCCAATAAATGACTCCCATGTGTTTGCTGAGTGCCAAGGATAGTCTGAAGCATTTATTTAGCATTCTAGTGGGATCTAGTTTCCGCAAAGTTCACATAGACGCAGAATTTCAATATTGTTGCTGTTATGCATGGGGAAAGGGAAAACATTTTTGAATTTGCACGAGCAGTGGGGCAGGACACGTAGAAGAACGCAATGATTGCTCAGTCACAATCTGCTTAACAATGTCTAAGGGCACTGGGGAGCTGTCAGCTATTTTTTATTATAAGAAAACTACAGTTTTGTTTAGTCTACGACAGCCTCCTCATACTTTCACTTTTTAATAAACATCTACAATTTTCCAAATCATTAAAAAATCATGGCATTTCATGGGCGGGGTGCTCTGACTGTCACGCAGCTGGGGCTCCATCGAGGCACTGCTGTAGCAATCACAAATTCAGACACATTTCTCGATAAATCAATTAAATAGTATAACCCTAGAATTATCTGGCTTCACCACCGCAATTGGCTGACATAAATCTTCAGAAAAGCATACTGAGTGTGCGGAGGAGCAACTGATTTATTGAGCTACTGTCAGAATTTCAAAACGAGGAAATTCTGTCTCGCAATCCAGTAAGTTTGTTTAATGAAATGTAAGTTAAGTGTAAACAGTCTTAAAATATATGAGACTTCAGTCTTTTGGATTACAAGTAACTAGCATGTCATAAACTGTGTTTCCTTGCTTGAAGTGCAGTTTCAAGATCTAAGGGCACTGCCCCTTTCTGTAAACAAGTGTTTGGGTCTCCACTCCCCCCTACCTCTGAAGGCAAATGGATCACCAGACCTTTCTAATGCTCTTTCACAGCTTCCAAAAAAAATAGTGGATTCACCTTTGGATGCTTGACATGACAACTTGTTTTATAATCAGGGGAATGGCACTATGAAGATTGCACGCACTCGTGATGGTGCTGCAAATGAAGTCCAGGTGTCCTGATCCCTGCTCCTTGCTGGAGGGCAACTGGGATTTCCATGTGCTCTGCCATTGTTGTCTTGTTTAGAAAATTCTTTTAAATACTTGTATACGTACCAATACTTTGTCTATAGTCCTCACAGAGATACTTGATAATACTGTTGACCATATTTCTAATTGCTCCAGCATGAATTCCCTTTTTTTTTTTTTTTAAGCTAAAACTTAATTATCCCTTATGAAAGGCTTAAAATACATATTAAAATATTTAGCTGTTTATAAGGGGGGAAAAAAATAGTTCGGCATGACTATGTTTATGTTTAGTTTCCATGAAAGTCTTAGATCACACGTACAGGTCTGCGTGTGAATATTTAGCATATTTGGCCTTAAGGGAAAAATAATTTCTGTTAGAGCCACCCTGCTGACTGTGATCCCAGCACTACAGGTCTGCTGTCTGCCCTTAATGCGGGAGGTACTGGCTTTGAACGTGGATACCTTAATGAAAATGGTCAGGCAGGCCCAAACCTGATTACCTGTACCTCGAATAATACAAGATTGAGCATTAATAAGAGATTATATTAGTGTTTAATGTAGCTATGCTATTATATGGAGAGGAAAAAGTGAAAATTCAAACCTCCATGAGCTGATGTGTTCTGAGTCATGATGCTTTTATCTTCTCGGGCAAGATGCCCTCTGATGTGCAAAGCTGCAAGGGATGCAGTTGCTGCGGGGTGCGCCGTGGTGTCTCGGAGACCCGGGTGTGACATCCTGCAGCCGTGCTGCCTCTCGGTGTGTGTTCCTGCTGAGCCACGACTAAAGAGCTGTGGGACCACAAACACCTCTCTTGGGAGCTGCTTGACTCTCCCAAGCAGGGCCTGATCCTGCAACATGTCCAGCTGCCTGTCAGAGCAGGGGGCAGGATGATGGGCTCTGGGTTTTTGGACTCAGCCAATTCTGTTTTCCTTTTTCAGGAGCACCCAGCGCTGCTGCAGTTTGTAATACAAGCTGAAAGTAAACACCTAGTCATCAATCTGGAGAGGAATGAGTAAGTACCCTTGTTGCATGTTCACTTTGTACAGGAGGCTCTCAGAGAAGGGTTATAATTTTAAAATTGATGGTTTAAAAGTAACTTGGAGCCAAGTTTGCTACTGGTCCCTTACGGAACAGGCCCCTGCCAAGAGAGTTTTGCTCAAGTTTGATGTGTATTTGCACACCGCTAATAGAGCAAGAATCTCTAAGGTCATCTGCATTTACGTGGGACTGAAAATGGATGTGTTGCCTCTCCATGTTTTCCTGTTGGTCATTATTTTTATTTGGTTTGGGTTTGTCCTCCTTTCCAGTGGTAAGCTCTTTTATTTACAGTAATGTGGAAAATCCTACAGTCTTTGGAACTTTTTTTGGAGGATTCACACCTCCGAACACTGCCTGCAACCATGGTTGGCTCCGTGCAGTGGCTGTCAGCATCTGCTCAGGGAAGATGAGTCAAGCATTTGGGCTTAAGCCCTGCTGGGCTTTTTAAACGGGAGCTCTCTGGGTTTACTGGCAAGGAGCTGCTGCTCACAAGGCCCGTGACCAGAGCTGAGCTTGAGCCCATGTTTGGGGGCTGTAAATGTTCTATTTTCTTCTGTGTACCCTTGACAACTCCCGCTCATGTCCATAAGCTCTCAGAGAGGGGTTATCAGGGGCTGCTGCAGAGGTGGTCCCCTGGGCAGAAAGAAACCTATCAGAGTCTTTACCAAGGGGTACAGAACCATACAGAAATGAAGTCACTGCCCTGGAGGTACATGAGAAATGGAACCAAAGTCATCCAAGTTTTGCTCTGCCTTCTCAACTGTTAAACTGCTTTTCCTCTAAGACTATCTTGAGAATGTATTGTGGGAATCCAGATCGGGACAACTATGTGCTGTGCTGCTTGGCAAAATAAAACCAAAGATCACTCTCAACCTAGGGAAAACTTTTATAAATGTTAACAAGGATCTCTGTGTTCTGTAGGTTTCCCTGCTGTGAAATAAAAGCAGCAGAGGTATTTTTTTTTTTAACTGTAATAGAGAGATCATAGACGTAAGCTGTGCAGCTTTCTGTGTTAAGAGAAAGGAATGTGCACGCAAAAGCAAATGTCCAGGGGAGGCCGGGTACATGCTGCCTCGGGCTGGTGATGGACAACTTCAATGGAAAACGACAGGGCACCACTTTAGTCCTCTGTAGTAAAACAGCACAAAATGCTTTTTTTGTTTCCAGTCATTTGGATGAGCCTTAACATTACCCAGCTGTAGTAAAATCCAGTTCATTATTCAACATCAGACCTGAATCTTGAGCTTTCCTTGCATTATTTTTAATGCTCCTTAGTTGTTCATTTCCTATCCTTGAAGGGTATGTAGATCCCCCCCATGCATAGGTTGCTCTGTTTCAGTAACTAGAGGAGGATTTAATTCCTTTAGTAAACAGGGATTTAACTTTATATTCTCTTAATCTTTGTCAAAGGGTGTGCCTTCCTTCAGGAATGGGAAGTATGCGGCAATTGAGGAAACTATTTACATTCCATGTCAGCGATTAAAAGAACATAAAACTGCTAATACAGGCCTTGCTGAACATACCAAACTGTCTTGTACCTGTAATAAAGTCAGATTTAGAAAATTGTAAACTGCAGTCTCCACCTCTTTTACAAGCAGGACATGAAAGTACAGTAAATTTAACTCCGTGAGCATCTGTCTGACTAAGCAGATTCGGAGATGTTGAGATCTGCTTCTTAAGAAATATAGTACTTATCAAGGATTATTTTTTAGTTTAGCTATCTCTATGGTGGGATCTCCAACAGAAGATTTGCATTCTAAGAGAGTTGTGGATGGTATTAACAACATGAGGCTCCTCATCTTAGAGGGAGCTCCTAGGTAATATTGAAAAATGGGACAATTAGTCTTGCCTGTGCTGGGCATTTATAGTATAGGAGGCAGTTCTCAGATCCCAAACCCAGAAAAAGTTGGTCATGGTTTTGCAAAATCATTTCTCCCCGCTTCTCCAGCATTACCGACTTTGATTTTCAGAAGAAATAATCGTCTAAGTGATGCAAGTCCGTGCAGAGGTTGCTTCAGTGGGTGTGTAGGTCTGTTTGTTACCTGTTTCTGTAAATACCACAGTGCATCAGTCTGCACGACTGGTCTGTGCTCCCCAGGGCGACCAATCTCAAGGCCTCTGTGCCTGCCTGTGCGAATTGGTGGTTGCATTTCTTCTGCCTGTAACGACGGTGTCGGCATGTTGTCACTGGCATGGAGAGGGGCGTTCGGGGGGGAAGCAAGCAGCCTGGATGTGCTGTTGCTTCCAGGGGGTCCTGCAGGTTCATGGAGTCAAAAATAATGTCTGGGACGTAAATGTATTTCTGCCGAGCAGCGGATGGGGAATAACAGCTGGTGGCAGTGGGCCAGCTTGGCCCTAAGGTAGATTATGGACTCCAGAGGTGTGAGAAGGCCATCACTTACCTGGAGGAGGGAGGAATGTTTCCACGCTGCGGCTCCTGCCCATGAGTCTCCAGGGCTGTAGATGTGCATATAGACCTTGTCTCCTCCAGCCTCTTCCATCTTCCTGTGCCTACAGCTCCAATACCTTGAAAGCATTGATGCTGAGATTGGAGTAGGCATTCAGTCAGCACGCTTCAGGTAGAAGTAGAGTGCTATGATTATTATTATTATTATTATTATTATTATTGAGTAATAAGTGACAACACCTACAAAGTTCTGATACGTGTACTGTTATTTTACTGTAGTTTCATGTAAAGCATGTTATTCCTTGGAGAATGGTGGGGGTGGAGGTAGATGGGACCCCTAAATTACATAATTTCTGCATTGGGTCATACAAAAAAAAAAAAACTGGATATGATTTTCCATGGTTAGTAGAAACAGCTGCTTTGAGTAGTCTTGACATTAAACTCCATTTATTGAAAACCTTAGAGATTTTCCAAACCTTGAGTTGTATTTCAAAACATGATTCAGATGCATTAGGCAACCCAAGTGGGGACTGATGTGTTAAACCATCTGTTATCTATGGAAATATTTAATGTCAGTTTGGTGTTTTCTGATATTTAGACTCAGCAAGACGTGTTCATATGCACTGGGCAAGACGTTATGTTAGTTCTGGAAGAGTTACTGGTACCTAACTTCACAGCTTAGGGTTTAAAATCTTCCCTATGGCTTCCAGCTGTTAATAGTATTTTTTACATATTCATTAAATACTGATTCATTCTCAGGCATTGCACATTTGTAGTGGCAAAACAAAAATTATTTGCCGTGAGTTCAATCTGTCAGTCATACAAAACTTGCTAGCAAGCTTGTGTTGCAAGTACATTTCTTACTATGATTTAGTTGCGAAATATGATTGCACTCTTGAGAACCTTAAGCTCTGCAGTACCTTAAATGTTTTAGAAACACTTGTCATATGGAGAGATTTCCAGAATCAGCAAATCATCGATCAGCTGCAAAATAAACCACTCTTCAGAGCAGCTGACTGTACTGGTGTGCATTACATCAACAATACTGATGTGCTTCTGTTGTGCAAGGGACAGTAATGTATGCACATAGAAATTCCTTTAAAGTTGATTGCAGCACGTGTGTCTTGGAGGAAAGTGGTCTTACCATTGTGTAAATGAAACAAAACCCATGTAAGATTAAATCTGAGCTGGAGAGTGGAACGGTATGTGACTACTGGCTGTTTTTCTGCAACTGGAAACATTTTACACTCTGTCAGAAATAGGTCTGTATACAGCAAAGTACTTAAGTGTTCCTTTAACGTTAAACATATGAGTAATTCAGGTGAAGTCAGTAGAATTACTTATTTTCAGAATTAATTTCATGCTTAAATGATTTGCTGACAAAGGTCATAATTATGAATGTCAAAGAGATGTAACTTTGAACAGATGTTAGAGAGCTCTTTCAGTGCTGAATCCTGTACATACCTGAGTCTGCAGCAGATAAAGATAAAAAGCTGAGATAAGAGCATGCAAGGGCAAGTATGGAGGTGGGATGGCTTTGCCCTGAGGGCGTCAGCAGCATCTCAGGGGTGTCCCGAACCGTTTGCAGAGGGAGCAGTGAGGGTGTGATCAGTGAGGTTGTGGCCGACGGGCCGTTGGCAGTGTCTGGGGAACATGAAAATTGAAAGAAAAAGCTCAGTTATTTTAGAGAAGTGGACTTTCCCTATTCATGCTCTTTTTCATCAAGTTTATAACAGGTTTATAGCCTTTTACAGAGCAATCTAAAAAGGGAATATATGATGTTAGATTGCTGCCTTTTATTCCCTCAGTAAAAATACTTTTATCAGGAGGCAAAATCCACCCCAGGCGATGGTATAAGTCTCTGTCTCATCCTTTAAATCCCCTCGGATCCCAGAGATCTCCAAAAGTTTAGAGCATCTCTAACTGTTCTCCTTGCGTGTTCACCACTTCTACATGGAGGCACAGTACCAGGGATGTATTGGGATGTAATGGTCCAGTATTGGAGGTCACTTTGAAAGCTTAGCTCCAGGACAGAGGAGGTGCCAGCAGTATTCCCTCTGTCTGAAAAGCAGGCAGTGGGCATCCTCATGAATAGTGCTAACGTGACCTGTTCCAGCGAGGCCTTAGTGTTCAGAACTCTTTTGTATTCTTCTCTGGTTAAAAGAAAAGTAGTTCTCTCTTATTTTCTGCCTGACCTTTCTGAATATGAGCACTGATTGGTGTGCAAGTGACATTCTAGCTGGATTAATTTAGCAGGGAAACAACCCATTTCCCGTGCCAGAAAAAAAATAGCTAACAAAATGCATTAATGAATTGACATGCTTATATACAATCAATGGCTTGAAATACAGATAGAGGAAACAAATCTAAACAAACACCAAAGAAACAGGACCTCTCAGAATATACTTGCTATTATATTTCTGTGCTGTAACTTAGCCAAAAAAACTCTGACCCCTGACTGTTTTATCTGCAAATGCTGAAGCTGGCAGCTGTACTGCAGTGTTTCAGCATGAGCTGACAGTTGGGGTTTCACTTTAATTGAAGTAAAAGTTTTACTTTAATGGAAG